GCAGAAAGACCAATCTTATCTACTTGATAAACTGGAAATAATAGAAATGTTTGTAGAATATAGTGGAGAAACTTGAAATACTGAAAAAAGAACTGACAGCAAATATTATAGAATAAGAAAGACATTGTTAAAAATGAAACATGACTAAAACAGAGGTTATTTAAGGGTATGTGTTTCTCAGGAAAGTTGTAACTAAAGCAAGGCTTGATAGATCAATGTATTCACATTCTTATATTGACTTTAAAGTAGACTAATGACATATGAATATAACCACACACATTGAGAAGAGAGCAAAGTCTGCCTGTGTCAGCATCATTCTCAGAGAGTGCTGTAGCACAAGTTCTGTGCCTCTAAATCTAATGATGAACTTGAATAATGCATAAAGTCATTAAATTATATTTGAAATTGTAGCCTGAATGACTTCTCTTTTCAAGTATAGCAAGAAAGAAAAATGGTGCTAAAAATGAAAGGACCCAACAATTTCTGAGTACTTTTCTTTACAGAAAATAACAATCAAATAAACACAAAGTTGATAGTAGGATTATTTTAGCTTTACCTTTTCTATGTTCCTGATCTTTACAGATATTCACAGAAAGTTATTAGTTATTAGTCAGTCCTGGTCTGATTCACTTAAATGAAATGAAGAGATCCTCATGGGTATGGTTATAAATAGAGTTCTCAATTTCAAAAGGACAAATTAAGTTATCAAGTTAATAAAGGCAGCTGCATTGATGAGCCTATAGACTTCACTGTAGCGTAAGCTTGGGAATTCTCTCTATTAAAGGTATAAAGTCCAAGAACTCCTACCCCTGTATAGAAGACTAAATTTTCCAAATCATAGAAAATACTTAAGAATAGGCAGAGATTGTACAAGAAATGCAAAGTCAAAACCAAACCAGAATATAAAAATGACTGCTCTGTAAAGAAAATAATATTTTAAAGATAAGGCACGAAAGAGCATAACAAACCCAATTAAAAACTGCAGCTGAAAAAGGAGAAAAGAAATAAGAGAAGGCACTTATAAAAATTATTTCTTATGCAGTAAGTATTGGGAGATGCAGTCAGACTTCAAGGTGTGACTGAAAAAAGTAAATGAATGTTATCAAAATTTTTAACACTCATATTTCTGCTGAGTGTGGAATCAGAGGACTAATGGTTTAATGCAAGTATAAAAATTGACATTTAAATAGAAATTATAATATTAAAATCAGAAATCAAGCATCCTTGTACATTAATGTGTGAAAATCTTCCAGAATTTGTAGCAAATTCATCTGATCTCATATCAAATAATTTTAATATTTTTTTTTAAGTTTTTGAGATTAGTACTGAATAACTGGAGAAGAGCAAGCTAGCACTAAATATTTAAATAAAGGAAAGTTTTATACCGAGTTACAAGATCAAACCTGGAGATAGTTTGGATATATTTGTAGCTAAAGATCAAGGGAAAAATCATAACAGCTGTAAAACGATGTAATAAGGTTTGCCTATGCCATATTTTTCTGGCAGCATTCTCTGATGAAATAGGAGATTTAAAAATGGGTATTTCTACACCTATAAGCAATTTTTTAAAGACTATTATTGCTTAAAAGAAAGAGCTGTCCATGGGTGGTGCCAAAAGAAGAAGTATCAAAGGGTTCAGTGTCCAAGAAATAGGTGAGTTAATGATTAGTATTGGGGAGAGTGAATAGCAGGAAGGTGTCAAGGACCACAGTAATAAATGAAATTCAATGGTCCAGGCTGCAACTTTTCTTAGAGACTTATAAAAGAGCCTCACAGTATGAATTCATCAAGTAGACATAACAAGGAAGAAGATAGAGATCCATTTATTAACAAAATGAATACATCATCAACAAGCTGTTCCTGAGAAAGTGGCAAATGAGATCCCAAGTTAAATCTTCTAAGATAGGTAAGTGCTTGTGCTGCTAGAATGATGCAGTGAATTCTTCCTCATTTGGTGATCTCTGCTATGTTATCCTAACAAAATGAAGACTGAAAGGCTGCAAGAAAATAACAAAATTTTCCACTTATTTATCAATCAATTCAATATCAAGTTGGGAAGAACAATGTGACTTGTGAAAATCTGGATATAAATTATTAAAAATTAATTCACCCAGACATAAGTGAGATTTTTGATCAGTTTTCCATGGCAGTAGTAGGAAGAAAAAGCTATACTAGATAGACTATAGAATCGGTTTAGGGAAAAAGTTATTCCTAAAATATTTAATACCTTAAAAAGCATGAATATAAGAACAGTGGTCCCAGAAATCCCTGTGCATGTATTACTGTGTCTGACTTTGTAATGAACCTTTTTTTTTTTTTTAAAATCTCAAAATGCTCACATTTTCTCAGAAATATATCTGTCTCATTGGGAAGATTTTTGGAAGCCAGTGACATCAATCAAAAAGCTATAGGGAGAAAGTCAGACCTGAAGCAAACTCTCATAATTCCAAGGGGAATGCAAAATTCTAAGTAATATACAATTATAAACCATGAAAAAATATGGTATATTTTGCAAAACATTTTTATGACCATAATAAATTATAATATTTGTAATTTTGTAATCAGAAATGTGTCTTAGTATTACTGAAATAGAATCTATATTTATAAATTATTTTAATGTCTTTATCCAATTCAATTAAATAACTTATTTAAGAATGTGGGGAAAAAATATTATTTCATAATTTCCAGAGAAGTGCTTTTCTCTACTTTAATGAAATGAGCCAAACAAAAAATGTTAAGGGCAAAAAATAATCAAATCACATTTCCTTACTGGAACAAGACTAGGCAAAACAAAGCATATTACACTGAGCCTTCACAGACATTATAGCCAGGAGAGATATGTACTCCTTCACCCTGAGAACTGGGTGCTCCACTGGAATATGAAATATTCACTGAATAGGAGCAAGCTCTGTCAGGTCCATCTAAAGCATAATTGTGGGGAGAAGGTGGAAGGGAGAGATTCTAGCCTCAGTATAGGTGCAGCTACATCAGTGTTTTAGCTTTGACAGGAATGTGCTCCTGCAGTACCCTCCTCCTCCTCCCCACTACTGTGCTTTGGTTTGCATTCCCAAGTGGTCTCAGGGCATGCAAACTGCTCCTGTGGGTGAACCTAAAACAGAAGATGCACTGCAGGAGAAAATGGAATACACTTTAGCAGCTGACAAGTATTTAAACTGCAAAGCCAGACTAGAACTAGCCCACAGTAAAAGCCCCAGAGTACTTCCAGTGCCGGTATAAGGTGCTCGGTTCTGTTTGGCTCCACAGACATACATCTGTTAGGTTTGGTCATGGCACTTGCTCAGTGTAGGCATATTCTGTGCCTCTAGCAAAACTCTTTTTTTTTTTTTTTTGTTTTAATTCATGGGGAAATGTTATCACTGTATAAAAACTATGCTCATAAATATTATGCTCAGAAAGAAACTACAATCCACATGCAAATGTTTTCAAGATGGGAATCACACAAAAAGATTAAAAGCTGTGGGCAAGGTTAGAGGGAAAAGATGCAAGAAGATGGGAGACAGTTCAGACATCAGGAAATGACTGGGAGAAATTAAGAAAAAAATGTCAGAAGCACTAATTAAACAGGTGGGAAATACAATAGGTAAAAGGATTGCAAGTGGAAATATTAACCATGTATTCTCCTTTGCCTTGTAATGAAAAGGATGAGGAACATGTTGCAAGTTGTTCTATTTTTTGTTCTTCCATAAAAAGCACTTCTTTTTTATTTTTTTTTCAAATGAGGCAGCTCTTAGGAAATTCTAGGCATCTTCATTGTCCCTTGCATAAAGTGGGATTTGAAAACCCTGAACTGAATCTAGTGATAGCTAGTTCTTCTTCCAGTCTCCTCACGTGAACACATAGTCTTGCTCCTCTAGAGTAACACGTCCTTGAGTTCCTGTTCATAGGGCAATTCTTTGAGGAAACGTTTTCCTTTCTATATATGCAAGTTCAGACAAGAGGATCAGAAAATTATTCACCTCCAAGTGAGTAGTCAGCTGCTGCAAGTGACAATTGTGGACAGCATCAAAGAGCCTCAGACATGAAGGAACAAGATCTTGTATGCCAGTAGCTTCTAAAATGGTAATCAGACACTTAATAAGAGAAGAATTCAATGAAAGTCAACTGGAAAAAAGTGATAGAAAGATGTAGATCTGTATGCTTTAGGGGATGGTGGAAGACAGAAGGACAGAAAGACATCAGTTCTCTTTCACATCCTTGACTTTCAGATAATGTCACAAATAATTGTCCAAATGTTTATAATTCCTCCCTGCATGTATTTGAGCAATTATGTATAAGAAGTTATGGCTCTTATCCCTGTTCCACTACAATGAGAGGAATAATGGCTTCAAGTTTTATCTGGTGAGACTACTGGTTCCAATTATAGGGCAATTAGATAACTATGAACAATTACTTTTTGTATTTCCATTCTCTTTTCATAATAAATGCAAGGAAATTCTATGACAAAAAGCTGCTAATGGGGAGTTAATGACAGTTGGTAATTACTTTTAGAACATCTAGTTTAGTAAAACCTCAGTTTCTAAATCCAGGAGACAGATAAGACACTTCACCCTCTTGAAGTGAAATATAATGCTTTAGTACAGCCATAGTAATATATATATATATTTTACTCTGTCTTTGATCTTCTGAGAGATGTGGAGATGTGTTCAGCCTCCCTCTAGTCAAAAGATTTGCTTATTTCACAGAAGTTCAGTGTACTCAGGAAGTTCAAGAAACACCTTTATTAGGTATGCAATTAAGTTCACAAACTAGTCCTTAAACCCATAGGCATAAACATCTCCAACTTAGTTGCTGACAGCTGCCACAGCAAGAATTCCCCAGCAGTCTGCCAGAGAACCTACACAGTGGCTGAGTGATGTGCTCCAAAGTGTTCGGGTGACTTGTGCCTCTCCTTTGGCCGTGTGGTACCTGCAGGTCACCCCGGTTAAAGAAATCACCTCACTTCACCTTCCCTCCCCTGGCTCAGCTCAGCTGGCCCTTACCTGACCACAGCTCACCTTCCATGCACAGAAGCCTTGCAGAGGGTGCAGCCAGTGCCACTTGACAAGTCCCAGCAACTCTTGACAGCTGAAGGAAGGCAAAGAATTAAAAGAAATGTGGATGCTGTGAAGAAAGAGGACTAAAAGCTTTCCAGTAAGTGTCATCCAAGCAACTCTGGCAACCATAAGTTTTTAAAGTTGTTCACATCTCAGTTTGTTAGAAGTGTGAGTTTTACTATCAAGTACTTCTGGAAAAACAATCTATATTATAAATGGTTCTGTAACTGAGTTAGAATAAAGAATAAAGAAGTTAGAATAAAGAAAACAGATCCATAATTTGCTTTTCACTTATAGGTTGCTGAGAATTGCAAGCTACAGTACTCTTCATAAGTTTTTAAAGTGAAATTAAATACTATTTCAAATTACTACATGAAAATATATTGAGGTATTGGCAGACAAGATTAATAGTTCCTCTTGTCTTTCCCATTTCCTTATATTTTGTTATTTTCTATTTCTGAGAAAGAAAAAAATATATTTACTAGATATTAAATATTCTTGGTGAAATTAAAAGGGAACTAGCTCAGTGTCAATATTGTTATTCTGTAGAATAACTACATTCACATAAATGTTAAACAATTCAATAATGTGCCAGGCAGTGTTTACAAATGTGTACCAAAATAATAATCCAGATGAGAGCTGTTACATTACAAGATGATTATGCTTTTTTTACATCCTTTATAATTAAATAGACCCTTTTTCTTTCTGTTTAATAGCCAGGAATAGTATCTCATTAGCTGTGCTTTCAATTTAACCCTTGTAACTTGGAAAATATTGTCCTATAATTAGCCCAGGGTATTTAAAGCCTCCAAGCAAAACAGTAAATGCATAAGAGTGTCTAGATGTGAAATGAAATTAAAGTAATGCACAATGTGAGCCACTTATTGTACAGGGCTGGGGTTTTTCTGGCTTTTTTTTTTTTCTTTTTCCCTTAATCAACTAGGGTTATTATGAGAGAAATAAATAACTTTTATAACTTCCCTGACTGTAGCAGCTATTATTTCATACACTCTTTCTTGAGATAGATTACCCAGCTCATTTCCAGGGAGTATTGAGGGCAGTCAGTTGAATTGAGGAGTAAAGATTGCCCTTATTTCTCCATGCAGTGCTACTATGTAGCACAGAAAAGTGCTTTTTGAAAATGTGCCAGGGGCTGCATTGATGTCATTAATTGGAATGCATTTAATTCTTCTCTCAATCTGAATCTCTCAACTCTTGTTAAAATTAGTCAGAAGTATAGAATGACAAACTCTTACACCTAAAGCATAGCAAAAATAAAATCTTATTTCACCTAAGATAATGCTTCAGAGTTACATGCTGCCCATATTAATAGCCCATGTGAACCAAACAAGGCTTCAATGCACAAGTGAGGCTAAAGGCTGTGGACAGGACATTCCTGATAAGAATGAAGCTGTGGGCTTTCAACTCTGCTCAGATCTTTTTCCTGTATTTTCAGACTTGTAGAAGCTCCCAACATGGAGCTTTCAGCCCTACAATTCAGAGTGGCTCATATGCAGTAAAAGAGGCAAACACAACACGTACCCATCACCTGCTGTGTAGGGGAGCAGGAGGTGCAATTCACAATGCTTCAGCCTGAGGAGGGAAATGTTTAAACCAGCAGAATAGTTTGCAAAGAGTAGGATGAACTGATTGCAGGTTTTGAAAGAAAGTGTGCCAGTCATTTCTTTGGAAATGTATGAATCTGTTACCTGGAATCTGGAAATAGCTTTTGGCACTGAATCCTTGTTTAACATAAGTACCTACCACAGAATTGCCAGTGGGCAAGACGGGGAGAGGAGATGAATAAACAGAACTTTTTCCTCTCAGGCATTTTATGTTTGCTAGATGAAACTTAGAGTGCTAGACAGGATGAATCCTATTTTTAGGCATCCAGATCTCCCTCTTCAATATCTTTGGAACTTAGATGCTTTATGCAGAAATTTCAACACTACTGGAGAAGAGGGTTCCCAAATTTTGAGCAACACAGTGCTTCTTGTTACAATGACAAAGTCCAAGCCTGACTCATTCGTTAGTTATTGCACAGAGTGTTTTGTAAAGGTTATAGAACACATATTAGCACTCCTTCCCTGGGAATGTAGCCACACTGAAGTCAGCCTCACTCCACATTGCAGTGGCAATGATTTACAAGAACAGTGTGTTGTCTTTTCACTGGTGTCATTCACTCCAGCATGCAAAACCTGGTTTGGCTGCTGCTGTCACAGGTGGCTGATCTGTCCTATGGGGAACCAAAATGTTCTACAGCTCACCGAAGAGACTGTCAGGTGTTATTCTGCTATGAGAAAATCGAGGCCAACAAAAGTGTTTTCTGGATGATTTGGGAGCTCTGATGTTGTTATGCCACAGGAAGGGACAGCAGTGTACACGAGCATGAATGGAATCCCATAGTGCCTGGTTTAGCCACTTATGGTCAGGTCAAGGTATGACTACTCCTTGGCCAGCATTTTGCAACTCCTCATTTACTGATATCTTTGCTCTTCTAAAATCCCTGTGGCATGAAAGGAAGAAGTTGTAAAGTGAAGCTCTGTTCCATGTAAGCCTGGAACAAACAGCTCTTGCCGAATTTTCAGCAAAATCATGGAGCCCTTACTCAACATTGATTTAATAAGAAGGAATGCCAAATGCAGACTTAAGAAGCTGTCCTTTAAGTGAAGCTGCCCGAAATGGAGATTTTTCTAAAACCGTGCTATGTACCTATTGCACTTCCTATTTATTCTATTCTTATTTTCCTCTGGCTACTACAGATGCTTTGTGAAACTTCCAAGCTACAAATTAAATCCATCTGCACAAAACAATAATAATTTTCTAAACCAGCTTTATTTCATATTAACCTTGACACTGAATGCCAGCAGCACCAATTAGCCTTGCAATCCTGTCTACTGTATAAGGCCTAAAGATTTGAACACAGTCTTTCATCTGTTAGCATTCTAGAGACCGATAAAAATTTACTCTGCTTTTAAACAAGCTGTACGTGACTGAAATTTACCTCATACTGGGCTGTGCTATAAATAACGTCAATCTGAAGAGACTGTGAATTTTTCACAGCTTTGTTTCAGAGCTATTCAAAACCACGGTTATCAATGACTGCACCACAAAATTTCTGTCAGCTTCAGATTTCAGTCGCAGCCAGGGACTTTGATGGATGGTTGCCCACTCTTCCCTAGTGAAATATAATTATCAAGGCATAAAAATCATTTAATCGCAATGCTGGAATGTTTAAGTGTAACAGTAATTAGTTCTTCAGTAATGCTTTCAATTCACAGATGTAAGTATTTTACAACAGAAATTATCACTTCCATTTTATAGTTGAAGTAAACTGAGGCATAGAAAGAACAGAACAGAGTATTTTTTACACTGTGGATTAGAAAGAAGGTTTTGAAGAAAAAAACACTCTTCTCACTGCCAATCCAGAGCTGCCCATGCTCATGCTAGTTAGAATAAGGTCAATCAAATAAACTGTAAGAAAACACAGTCTGCCATATTGACCTTTCTGCTGGAATAACCTCCATTTTCTCCTGGAATACCTTCCACTAGAAGCTCTACTACTACTACTACTACTACTACTACTACTACTATTAATACTGCTACTACTACAAAGAAAACTAACAATGCTGTAAAATGCACTCATTGAGAAGTTTGATACTGAAGAAACTGAAGCATTCAAAGCTGGCTGGCCAACAGGACACTCCAGCCAAAATAAAAGAATAGGACCCTCGGCCTTTTATGATTATTTTTTGGAAGCAGGGCCATAATTAAGAGCAATGGCTGGGGACATTCATATTGTGCCACTTGAGTTTGAATTCTTGGACGAGTGCAAGGTGACCTAAAGCAAAACCGTTTGCCAAGAATGCTTTCATTAGCTGAGAACAAAAGCTGGAGGCTTGTGGCCAGGTCACTATTGGGTGACTTTATTCCCACCAGGCTCCGTGCAGCTCACAGGACACCCAGGTCTTTGGGTTCTGGGAAGAAGTTGTTTATAAGGGAGGGGAGTCTGAGTCTATATTTGATTCAAGATAGGAAAACTTGTCTATTCAGACATGGACAGGATTGAAGGAACATCAGCTTTTTCTTGATTTCTTAGCTGATGAAGCAAGTAAGGCTAATTCTCCTATTGTGTGTGATGTGTATGTTTACCTCCCAATAGAGAGCATAAAGATGTCCACCAGGAGGAAAGGCACTTTAATAATACATTTGTGACCAGACATGTGGGCTGAATACCAGCCCTGGTACAGGATGGCTAAACAGCAAAAATGTACTCTAAGCTGTTATGAGTTCTTCATTTTGAGTGACTAATAACCACATATCTGAGAGCTGAGATCTCCCAAATGCAGCTCTTTAGCACTTCTACTCGTGCAGTGTTGCAATGCTTTCACATTTCCCAGAGTTATCCTACCATTTCTTTATCAAATATGTGATAAAATTATCTTTCCTAATGAAATCTTTCCTTTTTCCTTGGACAATTGATAAAATTCTTCTGCACCTAACTATTAAACAATACCTTGCTCAGTTTTTCCCAACTTTGTATTCAAACAATATACTGACTAATTTCTAATGAGTCAGTATCGTTTCACAAGAGTGGTCCTGTCATTCTGGACAGGAAAAGAAATGAGAAGAAATCATGAAAGTGTGAAATGTTGTTCTCCCACATAGAACACACTGAGAGACAGTACCAAGAGCTCTTGCTCATGGTGGAAAAAAGGATAATCTGTTAATAATTTTATGTCACTGGTGAATTCAAAATTCCTTCATCTGCTTAGCATGAAAGTCAAATTTAAGAAAAGCATTTTTTGTTTGTTTTAAAATAGCCATGAATATTGCTTTGCCAGGAATAAAACTAAAAGAGCTTCAGAGTCTTCTGCCACCACAGCATGTTTTAGTCTTTAATTCATTCCCTTTGGGATCTGAGACACAATTCATTTCAAGGTAACTAGGTAAAACTTAAAAAAAATTAAAATTAAAAAGCTCTTTTTTGTAAACAAAGCACAAATGATTGGACATCCAGATTACTACTTT